TATTTAATTGGTCAAAGTTCAATAACTGTTTTTGTAGTTAATTATAATTAAAATGATTATTATACATACATATACATATGTATATGTATGAATTTCTAATGGCAGATGTGCATGACCCCTTTTTTAATAACGATGATAAGATTTATATTTATGTATGAATATGATTGAAAATGATTGTATGTTTTTACTATATAAATGGATTTTGTAAAATGTACAATTGTAAATAAATAATTCTTTATTTATGTACATGTGTAATTATGTATAATATACATATTTATATATAATATGTATGTGTGTATTTGAATTAATATTTTTTTTTTCATTTATTAAAGTATCACTTGAGGATGAGTTTTTTTGTTTTTTGTTTGTTTTATTAATATTTAATTTTATAAATTTTTGTTTTTATTTATGATTTAGTAAAAAAGTTAATCTATTTATTATTTTATATTAAATTTAATTATTTAAAATTGAAACTTATGCTTTTAGTTGTTGCTGTGTTATTATTTAACAATCAAATTAATTAATTTATATGAATTTATTTTACTTAAAATAATCATTCAATGACTATAGAACAAAGTTACTTTAATGCAATTTTATTAAAATTATATTGAGTTTTGAAAAATAATTTTTCATAAAATTATTTTAAACGATGGCGAGTATGATTTTAATTTGTAATTTTTTTACATTTATAGAAACACATTTTGTTAACAACAAAAAAAGAACAAATATTTTTAACTTTTATTAATTTTTGGAAAATTTTCGAAATTTTTATACAATTTTCCTAAATATAACTCCTTTTTATATGTATTTTTTAACTACGAGTAAAAAGTTTTGGTGTCCAGTGTCTTTTTGTGGAAAACTTTGCCTCAAAGACACTAAATTAAAAAAAAAAAAATCACTTAAATTCTTTCCTTAAAGGTACTTTAGTAATTTTATATTTAGTATTAAAATAAACTATTTAAACTTATGAGTAGTATTATGTAGAATTAACAAAGTGTTTTTTTTTTCTTCCTTTTAAACAATGTGTATGAATGTATGTGTACGTAGTAGAGAGGTAATAACATATAAATATAATATACATTCATGTACTTTTAATAAGGGTACTCACAGTTAACGTAATATTAAAAAAAAAAAAACATTTTAAATATCGAACATATTTGTGGACCAGTTTAATCACAAGAAGTAAGCTTGAATAATCCATAAACCGAAATCAAACAAGATGTCTGTTGTGTCTGGAATCAATACTTAAGTAAACAAATCTATATTATTTAATCATGGTAGTTAGTCTCCGACCTATTAAATACTGACAATAACGGACAAGATTGTAATATTGTGATTATCAGGTAAGTCCTGATTAAATTAATATCAATCACGATTTTCACTAACCCATTGCCCCAATCGAGTTGGAGACTCTGTTATACCAGGTCGGATTTTTTTAGCTGACATCTACAAAAGTTTTAGTAAAATAAACTAGTATAAAGTGGTAAAGATTAAGAAATTACCATATATTTGAGCTCCTAACCTTCATCACAAGTAGACTGTAGTCGGTCCGAAAAACAAAAGGGGTATGGGCTAGCAACAATTAAATTACTACCCAATTGCAAAACACTTTCTGAATGTATGGTTAATTTAAAATTTGTCAAATATTAATGCCAAGCTAACACGAATAGTTGAATTAATTGATTCGGTCTCAGAATTACATGAATGAAGAATGAAAGCTTGAATGGCGAATGATTGCTTCGTGTGAACGGGGTATAAGTATCCAACAATTTATTTAGAGACCGGCAGAGGAAAGATGTTATAATGAGAGCGTGTATGACGGATAATTCCTTCGTGTGAACGAGGTATAAGAGTCAAACGATTTACGGGCGACTTAAAGGAAAGATGTTATAATTCCATTCAACATTTAGGAAAAAGTAAAATAATGGGATTTGATATTTACATGGCATTCGATAGAGAGTGGTATGGTGGACTTCTTGATCTTCTAAAATAACTACTACTTCTTATATATCTTAGTGTTGTTATACAGAGACAAGTTTTGTGGGTTTGAGAATACAGGGACAAGTGTCTCGGTTTTATTAAATGCTGTAAAACACCTTACTACCTTATATTTGATTGCATATATATACTCTCACACATGGACCGGATCTTTGTATTCTATTTGGTTGTACTGGAGCAACGTGCAATGTAATTCGCTGTTCTATCGATATTAAAATGGAATGTATTCTTTTGAACTTGCTCTTCAGACGAACCGTCCGTAAGTGGAACAAACTTCCTGCAGAAGTATTTTCTGCCACTGTAAACATATTTAAACACTACTCCCTCTATCCTCCTTCTCACCATCAATTTTCCCAGTTCCAATACAATGCACTGCATGAGTAGTGGTAATACAATGAGTGCTGGTCCAAGAAAAACTATTCCTATTGTAATGTTAATTTAATGATGCCCATATGATCTGATAAAGTTTCATTTCTGTTCTTTAGGCAGAAATTTACAACATTTGATAGATTTATTAATAAAAGGTTCCTAAATCAAGATTTGCCAGAAGTACTGATAGTAAAAGTTATTTATAGATATACATACATATAGTTACCTGAAACGCAAACGGACCTAACTACATAAAAAATTGGACTCCTCCGACCAAGGTTAGGTTAGGTTGATAGAAGGATGTATACTACATCAAATCCGTAAAAATACACCTAAGCCACTATCGAGCCTTTTGTGCGCTCCTTTTCACGAAAGAAAATAATTCACTGAATGTATTATGTTTCCATGTTCAGAAATTTAGTATCCTGGACGAAATTCCTAATTATCCAATTAGTGTTAGTCAGGAATGTTATTTCTGGAATAACATCACTTCCAAGATACTTGGATTTAACTTTGACGAATGCCTGACAGTGGCAAAGAAAGTGCTATAGAGTTTCACTGTCCTCTCCACATGCTTTACATTCGTATGAATCCGCACGTCCAATTTTGTGTAGATGAGCTCGTAATCTTGTGTGTCCACTCAGAATACGTGCCATCATACTAACCTCAGACTTCCAAATTTTGAGGGCCACCCCATAGGATCTTTGTGGTTCGACTCACCGTTTCATTATTCCAAGAGGATTCTCTCGCCCATATTTTTAGTTCAGCTTTTGTTGCGTCGAAAGGTTTTGCGTTCGTCAGGTTAACTACCTCGAGCCCCCTTCCCTTTATAGCAATTACATTCGCCCTTTCGTTGCCGACTACTCACAAGTGGCCTGGTACCCATATGATGAAACCTTACCTCTGGGAAAATAATCAGTTAAGGCTTTCTTACAATCCAATACGGTCTTAGATTTGATTCTATCTCCTGATACCGCCCTAATTGCCATCTGGCTGTCGGTAAATATATTAAGCCCATATATATTCTAAACCAATTAACATATTCCGTTATTGCTCGGACTTCTGCCTGGAAGCTTGTGTTATGATTAGGAAAACGGTGGTATATTTCTGTTTTGGGTCTTCAAAATTGAATCCCAGGCCCACTTTGTCCCCCAATTTAGAGCCATCCGTGTTACAACGGATTCCTACTGGTATTTGCTCTAATGTTCCACTTGACCAAGACACTCTGGGTTACCACGATTAATAGCCTCCTTGGCAAGAAGATACCGCTGGCAGACAAAGTTAAGTACTAAGGTGTAATCCTTGACCGGAAATTAAAATGGAGATTTCACATAGAGGATAGGATCAACAAGGCACATCGATGCTGGGCGATATGTAGGATAACTATAGTCATGACTATGACAAATTGGCTTTATAAAAGTGTAATTAGACCAATTCTAGCTTATGCTTTAATAATCTGGTGGACAAAAACTATAATATCAAACTCTTACAGGGAGTTTAGCGTACATGCTGCTTGGGTAAAAGTGGTGTTATGTGTACTACTTCAACCTAGGCTCTGGAAACGTTACCAGATATTCCACCCATTGAAACATATTTAAGATATGAGGCGGCGCTTACAGCCGTTATAGGACACGTCGTCATGTATACTGAACACATTGGAAGGTTATACACAGTCATAGGACGTGCCTGATCGCATACCAGACACAGAATATGTCGGAAACTTTGAAACGTTGAAATGTCTTGGTCAAGCATCCGTTCAAAATTAGCGATTTTATTGACAAACAAAAATTTAAATATTAAAGGTAAAGAGTCCAATTTATCCATTTTTATATACGCCATTGTTTATTTACTACAAATAAATCGCGTTGATAGAAACAAACATTTTAATTTCAATAGTTTTTTGCTTATCTTGTGAAATTTTAAAAATGTTAAATAGGGGCGTTTGGGTTTTAGGTGACGATATATACTTCTGTAAAGATTCTCTATTAAGCGAAATAAATTTTGAGGATATGGTCACAAAATATACACTGAAAATAATCCATGCTTAACTTTAGGGAATAAAATTTCTTAACAACTTTTTCCTATTTCTTATTTTTATGTTGCAGCGTTGCCATATATTCATAATATTTTGCTAAAAATCATGCAAAATTGCAAAAACAGGGTTGTTATAATGCGCATTTTTTGAATGAAATAAATATAAATTAAAATGAGAAAACATATTATATTTGTTCCCGTATTTTGTTTTGAATAATTTTTTAATCATTTCTATTTATTTCTTAAAAAATAATTATAATTTAAAAAATAACATCATTTTGCATTGATTTTTTGTGGTCTATCGACAGTAGCTTAATTTTAATTCGTCGCTCGCTCTTTTTGTGTGGTTTGTCGACAGCGGTTCCAATTGTATTTAAGCTGTTAAGCGGGGATTATTTTCAGTGTAGAGTGTCCGGCAACCGATATCATTTTTCTTTATTTATAAAAAAACTGTTAATTTTGAAAGATTATTAGGTTTAACATGTATATTATTAGTGTGGCAGTTGATTCTAACAAAATGGTGGTATTTTCTTAAAATTTTATATCTTTTTACTTTACAACAAACTGTGAGTAACCTGTAATTTAAAATGAATAGTATATTTTTTTTTTTTGTAATATTTAATGTACATGTTTGTATGTATGCGTGTGTGTAGTACTTTATAAGTATGTTGTACAATAGTTGATTTCCTTGTTTATTATTTTATTTATATTTTGGATTAAAGTCTATTTTATAGAGAATTATTTTTGAAATTGTTGTTAGATTATTTTTGTTTTTTAATATTAAATGTTAAAAATGTTTTTTATAACTGTTTGTTTTTTTTCATATTTCGTTTCATATTTAGTCTACTATTAAAATTATTATCATTATCATCATAAATTGGTTACATTTGATTTATTTTTTTTATATTTGAAATTTTTTTTATTAAAAAAAGATTTATTTTTTTAATCATATTACATATTTGGTTGCAGTTGTTTTTTTGTATTTATTTTAGGGATTTTTTTATATTTGGGAAATTATTAAATATTTGAAATTTTAAAATGTTTTTTTTTTTATTAAATTTTAGTTTGTTATTTATATAAAAAAGTGTGCTAATTAAAAGTTAACTAATGCTAAGAATTGTTAATTTTCTTTTTTGGTTTTTATTAAATATTTAATTATTTCATATTTATAACAATTCGTTTTGGGAGTGTTTTCAGTTTTATATTTTAGGTTTTAGGGATTTTAATATTTGGTATTAGTTAATTGTTTTTTTAATTTTTTACATTAAAGGTCCAGTTCTTTAGTGTCTTGAAATGACTAAAATTTATTTATTGTTGAGTTTTCTTTTTTTAATTAAAACTAAAAAACTGGTCCTAAATTATTTTAAATTGAATTTATCTAATTAAACACCTGGTTACTTATTTAATATTTGGCTCAAGTTATAAATTGAGATACGTGTTGCCCAAGAATGTTAACATAATGGTGGAAACCGCCAGTGGACTTAGAGTAGGGGAGGCCGTACTATTGCCAGCTAAAATTTCAGCCCTTTTGCGCATACGTTCCTGTTTAAAAATAACAAATAATATGAATAAAAATAAAACAAACTATAAATAAATAAACACACCCGATATTTATCATCTTCACCCGGTGGATCTAAACATTCAAATTCACAACATCTCTCTCCAACACGAAAGTTTTTACAAAACTTTACATTTCATTGGTCATGAAATTGAAAAAAAAAAATTAAAATAAATTTGAAGGAAAAACATGTAAATTAAAATAATAACTGCTTAAGTGTCAATGTCAAAATCAAGACTACATCAACAAAAAAAAAAAAAACAACAACTATATTAAACTAGTATGAACTAAGTAAAAATTAGTTAGTCCTTCAGTCATACTCCAAGGAATACTTACGTAGGGGGGATCACAGTAAATTGCTTTACACCACAAAGGCTCCGAATGGTAACACACACATAGACTGCACACACCTGGCCCTGGTACATATAGCATGCCGTGATTTACCGAATTACCTTGAAAATCAATACAGTCTTCCTCCAGACACGCTATCAAATGAAACGAAAAAAAAGAGAGAAAACAAATAAAAAAATTATATTCATAAGTTCAGGGTAATTGGCGTTTTTTTAGTTTTCTGTTTTCGTTTATTTTATACTAAATATATCGTGCATACATATAGATGTTTGTAAACATATTTAAAAATAAATTTGAATTTAAACGTTTTTTATTTTTATACTATAGACCTAATTTGGTAAATTGGTAATTTTTTAGGTTTCAGTAGAAATGACCAAGAAAATTTGTTTTCGTCATTGATCCCACTCTTATTTTCCAGCGTGCTTACATGTCGGCAGTTTTGTAAGTACTTACTACGATTACTACAGCTATTAGTTTTGACAAAAAGGAGGCCCGATAGTGGCCTAGGTGTATTTCTTCGGATTTGATGTAGTATACATCCTCCTATCAACCTAACCTAACCTAAGTAGAAATCATTACCATATTTTTGCTGGGATGTTGTAACTGCATACATAAACCTATAACACTATCAGCAGCTTTAATATTTGTTTAATCAAAAACTAAAATACACAATTAAATCATTTAAATAATGTCAAACATCAATCAATTTGATTAAATATGTAAGTTCAGAAAAGTTATCGCCCTTAGTTATGTGAAAAATAAAAAATAAAACAAAAATCTAGAAAATATTAAGAACATTTTATGCTAATAACGTTTTCCTTTTTAAAGTTCACTTTGGAAATCTGTTAAATAATAAGTTTTTTTCTTATTTATAAAGCATTACGTATAAATTGCTAATTAAAAATTTTTTTTTTCTTTTTTATTATTATTTGTAATCTCAAATTAATTGAATTTGTTTGAAATAGTTTTTCCAATAAAAAGGAAAATGCAATAAATAGAACATTTACATAAACTAATAGATTTACATTGTACATATTTTATAATTAATGAGTTTTACTATTTGTGTGAAAGAAAATATGTGACGATCCACTGATTACTTTTTGTACCATTCGTTATATGAACATATGTATCTGTGTTCAAAGAAATATGTAATAATATACATAACTCGAAAATCATAGTTTCAATATTAATTAGAAGTGCAAATTTCACGTAAATAAATCATTAATAAATTATATAAGAACATGTAATAATTTGATATTCGGCTATGTCGAACATAGAGGATAAGATCAACAAGGCACATCGGTGCTGGGCGATATGTAGGAGAATTATAGGCATGACATGGGGTCTTAGTCCTACTATGACAAATTGGCTTTATAAAAGTGTAATTAGACCAATTTTAGCTAATGCTTTAATAATCTGGTGGACTGCTTTGGAGAAAACGTGTAATATCAAACTACTACAGGGTACTACTTCATGTGTACTAGGTACTTCAACCAAAGTTCTGGAAACGTTGCTAGATATTCCACCCATTGAAATATATTTAAAATATGAGGCGGCGCTTACAGCCGAACGTCTCTTTACTTTAGGCTCACTGGCCAAAAGCGGTTATAGGACACGTCATCAATGTATACTGGACACATTGGAAGGTTATACACAATCATCGGATGTGCCTGATCGCATACTAGACACAGAATGTATCGGAAACTTTGAAACTCTGATCCCAGATAGAATGTCTTGGTCCAAAGGTAAGGGTACCAGAACACTCGGGAGTAGTCGGCAACGAAAGGGCGAATGTAATAGCTTTAAAGGGAAGGGATGCGAAATGATCGGCGGCGGCGGCGCAACCATTTTTGGGTCGGCGGCGGCTTAATTTGTCGGCTCAATTTAACTTTTTCTTTAGAAATTGACCTTATAAGGTTTATTATATTGAAAAATCTTTGTATAATAGTCTGTTACATAGAAACCTGTCTCTATATAAGTTTTTTCTGCAGAAAATGGACATTTATAGAAGTTTTCACTATTTTAATATTAGCACAATATTGTGTGGCAACTCTTTTCAATTTGCCATAAGAATTTAAAATAGTGGCAACTCCGTTCAATTTGGTGAAATTATGTTCTGAAATACATGTGTGATTCTAATCTTTATCAGCGGCTACGTTTAAGCCGGCTTAGCTTTTGAGCCGAAAGACGTCGACGCGGCTTGCAAAATATTACCGGCGGCCAGCCGCCGCCGATTTGAGCCGTCACGGCTTGTATCTCTGAAGGGAGCTCGAGGTAGTTAACCTGACGAATGCAAAACCATTCGATGCACCAAAAGTTGAATTAAAAATATGGGTGAGATAATCCGATAAGGCCTCTTGGAGTAATGAAACGGTGGGTAGAACCACAAAGATCCTATGGGGTGACCCTGATGAGAACAAGACGAGAAATCTCCTCAAAATGAGCAAGTCTGAAGTTAGTATGATGGTACGTATTCTGAGTGGACACACAGGATTACGAGCACATCTATAATAAATTGGCAGTGCGGATTCAGACAAATGTAGAGCATGTAGAGAGGACAGTGAAACTCTGGAGCACTTTCTTTTCCACTGTCAAGCATTCGTCGAAGATAGATCCAAATATCTTGGAAGTGATGTTATTCCGGAAATAACTTTCCTGACTAACACTGATTGGAAAATTATTAGGAATTTTAAGCATGTTATAGGTGCCTAAGTAATTTTCTGAAGTGGACCTTATAATCAGTCCACATTGGATCCAGTACTCGATCCAATATGGTCCTACTAAATTTGACAGATAGATTTAAGTTCTTTTAAAACTTGTTTATCTTTAATTTTAAGCAAGTTATAATCTTTAAAGTAATTTTCTGAAAGGGTGCTTATAAGGGATAGGGTCAATGGGATCGATTCCTATAAAATTAAGTTTGTATTAAACTTGTTTATGTCGTATTTCATAGTTATTCATTTTTAAGAGGGAACTTTAGGGTAGGGTTAATTATGGACTAACTCCTTATAAAATTAAGTAAAAGATTCTATTGTCTATGAAACTTGTTCATGTCGAATTACATTGCTATACTTGTACTTTTAGACAAGTTATGAACTTTGAAGTAATTTTCTGTAAGGGCATTTTTATGGGTGGTAAGGTCAATTATGAAGCGCTTCCTTTAAGCAGATTTATGTTCTTATAAAACTTGTGCATGTCAAACTTCATTGGTATTGCGGCATTTTTAAGCGAGTTATGAGCATTGAAGTTATTTTCTGAAGGGGATCTTATATATGGAGTGGGGAAATTTTCATTTAACCATTATTTCTTAAGCCCAAGATAGCTTAATGAAAGTAGGCACATGGTTTTGTCTGATAAAGGTTACCACCATTCATCCCATGTATGATATTGGAAGCCAAAGGTTACAAATAAAAAATTTCAAATCTTTTTTATATGAATCAGGAAAATCATTCAAACCAACTAAGTGCGTTTGTTGAAAAGGAGTTTTTACTTGTTAGTGGACATATTAGGTTAGGTTGATAGGAGGACAGAAAAAATACACCTAATCCACTATCTGAAATGTTGTGCTCGATATTGACGAACAAACATTTTCATGTAAATATGTGGTATTCACTGAATGTACTATCGCCCGATATTAAGAAACTTAGATTCCAGGATGTAATTCCCAAGAATTTTCCAATCAGTGTTCTTGAGGTATGTTATATCCGGAATAATATCACTTTCAAGATATTTGGTTCTAATATCGACGAAAGCCTGACAGTGGCAAATTGCTCCAGAGTTTCACTACCTCTCTCTCTACCTGCTCTACATAAGTCTTAATCCGCACGTCCAATTTTGTAAAGCTGTACCCGTAATCTTGCGTGTCCACTCAGAATACGTATCATCATACTTGCTCATTTTGAAGAGGCTTTTATTCCTACTCTCGTTAGGGTTACCCCATAGAATTTTTGTGGTTTTACCTTCCAAGATGTCTTATGGGATTCTCTTACCCATATTTTTAATTCAGTTCTCGTTGCAATCCCATACGGTCTTAGGTTTAACATTATCACATGATATCGCCCTAATTGTCTTCTGGCTGTCGGTAAATATGTTAACCCCTGTTGGCGCTATATTTAATCTAATCCAATTTACGGACTACGTTATTGCTCGGACATCTGCCTGAAAGCCAGTATTGTGATAAACTGTAGTATATACTTATTTCTGTTTCTGGGTCTTCAATATAGGACCCAAGGCTAGTGGATAAACCTAATGGTTGTAATGGAAGATTGGACCCGGATAACCTTTGGTTTCAGTAGCATTGCGCACCATATAACACATATATATCGTTCTTTTGCTCACTAAGTTGATATCAGTTACGTAAAGTTTGAATGTTTCTTTCTAGACTGTATGCACGCGATCAAATATTAGAGGAAGTTAGTGAGATAGTTTGAAAGGATGTATCTTAGATCGGAAGAATTATAAACGGTCTTTTGCGCTTTCTTTACAAGAGTCTTTGATGTAAATCGAAATCACGACCTCCGTTCTGTCAGACTAGAACACCTCCAACTAACCTACCGAAGCACACTATAGATTCGTTAGCACGATCAATGATTACAATATGATTATTGGAAGTTATTCTTAGTAAATTTCCAAGAGGGATATTGGGGTATTTCGAAACTAAAAATCCTATGATAAATATGTTAAAGTGTTAATTAATTACATTTGATATTTGATTCAATAATTTAATATTGAATACTTGCTAACTATAACAATATATGGCAGATCCAGACTTTGGAAGTGAAGTTGTTCTAAAAAACTAAGCATTTAAATAAATTTATGTATATGTAATAAAATTTAAAGATTGTAACCAGTATTCAGTTGTAATATTGAGTTTTTCTACTGAATATGTAATAAGTAGTATGCAATTGATTCTCTTATAGAATGTTTCTCTTAATTTAGTTTTCTCTTTATTAAAATTTAAGCAAAGAAAATGGAACAAAATAAAAAAAGAAAAATAAGGATACGATTTGTTGGCTTTTACAACTAAAGACGTCACGTGAAATTAGTTTGAAACGAACATTAGAAAAACGTGTTGCGGCACATTTTTTCGATTCGACGAGGTATGACAGACAGCAACAGCAGCAATTACAACAAT